AATTGCTTCCACCGTAGCTGTAACGATTTGTACTCCCACCAGTAATTATGAGAATTCCTATTTAGTCACATCCTGGTCAACCCTTGATAGTTTTCAACTTGTTAATTTTTGTTAATCTAATGAATAGGAAATAGGACCTCATCCTGGTTTAATTTGCATTACTCTAGTTGCTAGTGAGATGGGTTAATGATCATTTCAGTTTCCTATTCCATGGCTTATCTATTTGTTTCTTTTAGTTATTTTTCTATTGAGCTATTTTTTTGTTTTGCTTTGTTTTTTTGTTTTGACAGAGGGTCTTGGTCTGTTGCCCAGGCTGGAGTACAGTGGCATGATCATAGTTCACTGCAGCCTTGAACTCCTGGGCTCAAGCGATCCTCCTGCCTCAGCCTCCTGAGTAGCTAGGACTACAGGAATGTATCACAATGCTCAGCTAATTTGTTATTTATTTATTTGTTTATTTATTTATTTAGAGATGGGGGTCTCCCTATGTTGCTTAGGCTGGTCTCAAAGTCTTGGCCTCAAATGCTCCTCCTGCTTTGGCCTCCCAAAGTACTAGGATTACAGATGTGAGCCACCATGCCCGGCCTTTCATTTATCTTTTTTTTTTTTTGAGTAGAAGGAAAGAGGAATTTATTAATTTTTTTTTTTTTTTTTGAGACAGATCTCGCTTTGTTGCCCAGGCTAGAGTGAGTGCCGTGGCGTCAGCCTCGCTCACAGCAACCTCAAACTCCTGGGCTCAAGCGATCCTTCTGCCTCAGCCTCCGCGGTAGCTGGGACTATAGGCCATGTGCCACGCCATGCCCGGCTTAATTTTTTTCTATATATATTAGTTGGCCAATTAATTTCTTTCTATTTATAGTAGAGACGGGGTCTCACTCTTGCTCAGGTTGGTTTCGAACTCCTGACCTAGAGCAATCTGCCCGCCTCGGCCTCCCAGAGAGCTAGGACTACAGGCATGCACCACCATGCCCGGCTGGAATTTATTAATTTGCTGGCAAATGAGGAGGTTGGCAGACTCCTCATTTATCTTTTAACCTTGATTGTAGTATTAATATCTTTTTCTTTATGGCACACGTCTGTGTGTCTGTATATATGTGTTTGATTTAGGAAATACTTTCTACAACCATAGATATTCTCCAATATTATTTTCTAAAAAGTTCTGAAATTTTGTGCTTGAAGCGAGGAGGGATCCAATATTATTTCCTTTTCTTCTATTGTGGCATAACAAATTGCCCCCATATTTAGCAGCTTAGAACCACAAACATTTATTATCTCATGGTTCCTGAAGGTCCAGAATCCGCGAGCGGCTTAGCTGGGTGGCTCTGGCTCAGCAGTCAAGCTGTCAGGCGGGGCTGCAGTCATTCTGCTATGGACTAAATGTTTGTGTCCTCCCAAATTCATATGCTCAAGCCCTAATCCCCAGTGTGATGGTATTTGGAGGGGGTATATTTGGGAGGTAATTAGGTTTGGGTGAGGTCATGACAGAGGAGCCTTCATGATGGGATTAGTGCCCTTATAAGAAAAGGGAGAGACCAGAGCCTTCTCTCTCCACCAGCCGAAGGTGCAGCAAGTCAGGAAACAGCCCTCACCAGACACGGATCTGCTGGCCCCTTGATCTGGGACTTCTCAGCCTCGAGAACTGTGAGAAATAAATGTCTATGGCTTAAAGCACCCATTTATTGTGTTTTATTATAGCAACCTGAGCAGACTAAGGCACATCCGAAGGCCACGCTGGAAGGTCTGCTTCCAACATGGCGTACTCGCAGGGCTGTTGGCGGGAAGCCTCAGTGCCTCGCTGTGGGGGTCACCACAGGCTGCCTGAGCGTCCTCACGACGCACTAGCTGGCTTCCCCCAGAGTGAGCCATCCACGCAGACAGAGAGAAAGTGTGAGCACGCAGGAAGCTGCAGTGCCCCTTATGACGTAGCTTCTAGAGTCACTCACTGTCACTTCCGCTTCATTCTGTTCATTAGTGAGTCCCTAAGTCTAGCCCACACTCAGTGGGAAGTTAATTATGCTCCACATCTTAAAGGGAGAAGCATCAAAGCATGTGGCAGTTGAAATCTACCACAGGCACACCAAGTCATTTGTCCCACCTCTACTCACTTTTTAAAAAGTCTACTCTTTCCTTACTGATGTATGGCACTTCTATCTTTTATCGAGCCTTCATATAAGCAGATATGTTTCAGGACTCTCTCTGCACTGGTCCGTTGATTTATTTATCTAGTCTTACGTCAACACCACAATGTTTCAGTCGCCGTGACTTGACAAATCTTGATGTATGCTAGGCCCCTGGTGGCAGGATGCTGATGCACACACAAACCCTTGGGTCATCCACTTCCCTGGATGCTAGGCTGGCCTTGTGACTTGTTGCAATCTTAGGACGAGCTAGAAGTAATACTATGCCAGCTCCTGACCTAAACTTTAGGCAGGCCTGTAAACTTTGGCTTTCGTACTCTTGGAGCCCTGGGCCAGGTGAGCAGTCTGGCTACCCTGCTGGAGAGACCCTCAGAGAGAGAGACCACAAACCCCGAGACTTCCTAGAGAAAGGGAGACGCCCGGCCGTCTTATCAAGCCAGCCAAGTCCAACCTGAGCTGGGTCCTCTGCTGAATGTGGCCACCTGACCGCCACCTGCAAGCACAACAGAACTGCCCAGCTGAGCCCAGCCCAGACTGCAGAAGCTCAGTGGTGGCTTTAAGCCATTAAGTTTGGGGAAGGTTTATTATACACCAATAGGTAACTGAAGCAGCTCTTACCTCATCTTTGTACTTCTTTTTCAACATCACCTTATATTGAACTTGCAGATTCACCTGGGGAAAAGAGTATTGGGTCTTTCTTTTTGTTCATGTACCCAGCTTTTCTTTTTCGACAACTTTTTATATTTTCCCTATAAAGCTCTGAACATCATTTGTTAAGCTCATTTTCGGGATCAATATAGTTTCTGTTGCCATCGTGAATGAGAATTTTTTTGGACTACATTTTCTAATTGGCATAAAGGACGCTGTTGATTTTTATACGTTGATTTTGTATCCAGAAACCTAGCAGAATCCTCTACTATTTGGCCTGAAGATTCTCTTAAAACTCTTGGATTTCAAGTAGTTGATCTGCAAATAATGACCATATTATCTTTTTCTCCCTGATTATTTTGCCTCTTTTTTTCTTGTGTCTTTTCATCATGAAGGGCATCTGGTATGATGTTGGGTAGTGGCAATGATAATGAACAGTCTGACTTTAATAGGCATGTGTTTGGAATTTCATCAATTATTATAACATTATTATGGGGCTTTTAAAACTATATTTATTAAATAAAGTTCCTGTCTATTCCAAGTTTTCTAAGGGTTTTATTATTTTTTAAATAAATGAGTGTTGAATTTTATTGCCTACATTTTTCTACATTTGTTGAGATAATCATATGTTTTTCCTCCCTTTAATATTTTCATATTGTAAAATAACTTGATACATTTTTCTAATGCTGAGTCATAGATATTTTTACAGTATAAACCAGACTGAGTTATGATTATTCTTATATACTGGTAAATTAGACTTGCTAGGTTTTAAAAGAATTCTTACATTTATATTTGTAAGTGATATTGGCTTATAATTTTCTTTTGTTGCTTTTTTAAAAAAAATACAGCCTTTTCTACCTATATTAACATCAAAAAATGAGTTCAGTAGCTTTTCCCTTTTTTCTAGTGTTTAAAACTGCTTGCCTACTATAGGATTATCTGTTTCTTGAAGATTTGGTTAAACTTGCCTCTAAAGTTGTCTGGACCTACTACTGCCTTTCTTGAGGAGAGATATTTGATTAGCCATTCAATTACTTTAATAGTTACTGGCAAATTCAGATTTTTAATTTCTTTTTGGGTCTATTTTTATAATTCCTACAAAGTTTCCCATTTCATGAAAATTTTGAAAATTATAGGCAAAGATTTGCTTATAGTACTTTTCATCTCAAATATTTTTTTTCTTTTTTATTTCAGAATATTATCGGAGTACAAACGTTGTGGTTACATGGATTGCTTTTGTACTGCTTAAGGCAAAGTTTCAAGTGTGCCTGTCACCCAGATAGTGTCCATTGTAACCCATTTTGCCTTTCTCTTTTTTCTAATCGGTGTTTCCAGAGATTTTCCTATTTTATTAGTCTTTTGATAAACAATCATTTGGTTTTATTGATAATTTTTATATTTTTGATTTTAGATTCTATTATTTATGCTTTTATGTTTATTTCTCCTTTCTTCTAAATTATTTCCTCCTAGATTGCTTATTTATTATTTTTTTCTTTGTAAATCATTAAGTTGAATGCTTACTTCATTAAATTTCAAATCTCCTTGGTTATCCAAAAAATGTATCTAAGCTCTAAGTTTCCCCTTGGGTACAATTTTAGTTGTACTTTATATGTTTTTATATGCATGCTTTCATGGTGTTTCATTTCTAAATATTTTTCATTTCATCATAGTTCCTTTTCTAATCCATAAATTACTTAGAATGATATTTTTTTCATTGTCAAGTGTATGAGGCAGGACAATACATTTCTGCTGTTGGTTTCTATTTTCAGTGCATTGTGGTGAAAGAACAAGACCTAATGACATCATTCCTTTGGAATTTGTTGTGATTTCCTTTGTGGCCTAACAAATGGGCAAGTGTGTATAAGTCCTGGGTAGGCTCATAAAGAATATGCATTCTTTGTTGGGTGAACATTCTCTCTGATTATCTATCATTGTTTCTAAAAATAATGTATTGGTTTCATAGTAAATAAATCCTTTTTTAGTTTGGAAAAGAGGAGGAAAAAGAGTCTGAATTTCAGGGAGGTAGTCTTATTAGAAAGAGAAGAAGGATTCCAGAAGTAGAACTTGAATAATATCCAGAGAAATCAAGGGAATTAGTGATTTTCGGGTGTGTGTGTGTGTGTAAGAGAGAGAGAGAGAGAGAGAGAGAGAGAGAGAGAAAGAGAAAGACTCCCATGGAGCTGTAGCTTACTTCTGTGATTGTGCTTCTCACAGGCTATATTGCTGTCATCTGTTAGTTTGACGCACAGGCCCTGAGCTCCTTAAGGGACAGCTTAAGGATGGAGCCTTTCCCTCTGGATTCTCAGTGAGCATCTCAGGGACTCACACACAGCAGGCGGCAAATGAGCAGAAGTTGAATGCAGGGCTGCTGGTCAGCTGGCATGCACACACCAGGTATGACCGTCCTTCCTGTTGAAATGTGCAGCTGCCACCCTGAGCTTTGAGTGCCGCTTTGCCACCCACTGCTCTGACCTCTCCCCCAGTTCCCCAGACCTGACCATGATCCAGCAACTAAAGTGTTTATGCTTGGTCTAGCAAGGCACCTCCAGGGCTCTGCTCCAGGGGTATTGGTGTTTCTTCTGATTGGTTGGTGCCCGTGGCATACCGATTGTTAAATATTTTTACTGTCACCTCTGGCTGAATGAATGAATGAATGGATGGCCTTGGTTTCCTTCTGCTCCCCCTGTGCTGAATTGCATGACATGCTCTCTCTGCCATCATTCTCCCAGCCCACACTTTGGTCTTGGTTTCCTCTACCTGCAAATAGGCCCTGAGCCTCCCTTTGAGCGGCTCTGCTTTGGACATTACAAAACCACGGTCTACACATGGTGTCACTGCATAGATACTTGTTCAAGTGATTGATCTTGGATTCTGCACGTCGCTTCAATCAATAGATAGGGGAGACTTATTCAAAATGGAGCATCTATTGTTTTTATGAGCCTACCCTTTACCCAGAAACTGAGGGAGTGGAATAGTGCTCTTAATTTGAATTACTGAGTCCATCTCATTCTCCTCTCTAAATTGCAAATTAAGATATTAAATAGTATTTACTTTCTGCCAGACTGTTACAAAGGTTATTTTACTGGTGTCCTAGATCTGTGTGTGTAAGCAGCATGTTAATATTTGGGATGCTAAAGAGTTTTCCTATGTACTTATTGATCTGCTCAGAAAGAGCATACTTGCTCTCTGTTTATTTATAGAGCAATTATATCATCTGTCCCTGCACAGCTTCACAGCCCGACTGAGGCAGCAGAAAGTTACACTGAACCGTGTTAATCCAGAGCAATTGTATGCACGCAGAGGCCAAGCACCTGGAGACTTTTTGCACACAAGCTTCTGTGATGCCCAGACCTCTGCACATTGGCTTCAAACAAGGGTGTCTTGCTTCTTTTGGCTTGGGGAGTAACATAGGTGAGAAACTTGCTTGGTACAACCTAGTTGCATCAATTATTATTTTTGGTATTTCAGAGGACTAGTGCCTAGCTAGACACGTTGAGGCTCTTCCCTTGAAGAGTTCATGTCCTCAGAGTTGGAATTGGAGATGAAAGAAATTCCTAACCGGGTGAGCGGAATTGTTAGTTCATTTACATATTTAAGTGGTTTTTTTCCTTCATTGTGAATGTAAAGAAAAAAACAGAAAATACAGAAATGTAGCTACTGTGTTACTTTCCACTTTATAGGCTATTTCTTCTTAAAAATATATAGTTGTATGCATAACAATGTGAATGTACTTGATGCCAATGAATTAGTTAAAACAGCAGCTTTTATGTTATGTATATTTTACCACAATACAAAGACAAAAAATATCCAGTTGTAATAATATATATACACTATTGTTTTGGCCTTTTAACCCTAGCATTGTGCTCTAAGTATTTTCTCATGCTCTTGCATGATGTTAGAAAATGTTTTAATGCCTGTGTGGTTCGTTTATTCATTCAACAAGTATTTATTGTGTATCAGTGAGGTACCAAGTGCTGATTTAGGCTCTGGGATACAGCAGTAAATGAACCAATAAGATCCCTTGCCCCAAAGGGGAGGGGAGGGGAGACAAATGATGGCCAAGGAAGAAAACTCAAGGAAGGTTGTGATAAGTGCCGTGAATGGCTTAAACAGGTGGTGTGGGAGAGCAACCACGGGGGTTTGGGAAGGAATGCTACCCGTGGGGAGGATGCGACGTGTGACCTGAGCCCAAATGGCTGAGAGTGAGCCAGCCAGGAGAGCGAAGAGCCGAGAGAAGAGCATTCTCAGAAGAGGGAACAGAGAAGTGCAAATGTCCTGAGGCAGGAAAGAACCAAGCAAGACTGAGGAACCAAGAGGAGGCGAGTGTGACAGATGCAGAAGGGGTGTCAGGTGGAGAGTGAGTGGCATCGGACAAAGGAGTGGGCAGCACAGAGCAGGGAGCTGCCCGGTCATGCTGAGGGGTTTAGACAGCAAGGCTAGTGCAATTGGGGAGGGGGGGGGATTAAACAAGTCAGTTTCATGACCCATGCTTCTAAAATCCCTCTGATTACTTATGAATGGGAAGGGGGGCAAGAGTGTGAGGGTCAGTCCTGTTAGAAGGCTACTGTGGAAGTGAGTCCAGGGCAGAGATGGTGATGACCAAGAATGTCCCATGTCCCTGTCCCCAAAAAGCAGCAGCACAAGCACAGCACTGCTTTTCTTCACCTGCATGGCAGCTCTAGTGACCTCTGCAGGGAGTCAGTTGACTTTTGTTGGGAAAGGGGAATTAAGTGCCCTTGAAGGAGAATAGGGGCTGTGGTATCTAATGCAAGTTCAAGGGCAGCATGCTCAGTGGTTATGGACTCTGATTTTGGAGTCAGGTGATTGAAGCCAAATGCTTGCCTTTATGAACTTGGGCAGGTTACTTAACTTTTTTTTTTTATCAATCAGTTTCTTTATTTGTAATAATGGGGATAAATGTACCTACCTGAAAGAGCTAGATGTATTAATAAGTGCTTAGCTTAGTGCCTCACATATAGAGAGCACTCAGTAAGGGGCAGCTATTATTAACAACAAAAAGAGCAAAGAGTTGAAAGTATAATGATGAAAGTGTACTTTTAAAAACTCTACTAATGAAAACAAGTTCAGGAATAATTCTCAATGCTATGAATATTAGAACTGTTCAGTAGAACTGCTCTAGGTTCTTCAGCGATCATAGCTATCCAGGGTTTTCAAGTTGGCAAAGTTACGATTCTACAAAGAGCAAAAATATTCCGTTGTACAGACATTAAGATTTATAAGGATATTGGGTATTTATGGAGACTTAGTTAAAAATAACCAAAGCCCGTTTCTAGTATATGTCAAAAAGAACAATAAACAAATCTAGCAAAATAGAAAAACCTTCTCTTTTATATTTCATTAAAATATTAAAGCATTTCCAATATTGTAGAAGCAAATAAACCAAATTATTTACAGTGGCTATATAAGGATGGAAGGATTAAGTCTAATTTCATCTTATTTTCTGAAGTGTCTGTAACATGTACAAATGACTTTCATAGTAAAAAATACTTTAACTGATCAAACTAAATTCACATGAGAAGAAAGGCCACTTTATCATCATCCTAAGGATAGGAATAAAAAAATGAATCCTGTCTGTTTTTATTTCTAAAAGGTTTAAAATGTTCTCAACATTGGAATCACAAGACAATTATTTTAAATGACATTCAAATGGGCCTAAAATCTTCACCCAGATGCAAATAGTAGAGGTTGGCAGCTAAATCGTGGGTTGAGGGGAAAGAACATTTTAGGTTTATTTTCAGAACTGTTTTAAAACGTCAAAATGTCAGGTTGTATTGGGTGGGACTCAGGATCCAGGGTTTAAGAGAGTTTCACACGAACATCGTGAAGAATAATCCACAGATGGGTCCGAGGGTACCACGTGCACAAGCGCTGTGTGTCAAAGCCCTGTGTCATCAGAGGCTTGGAAGAGACATACACGCTCAGAGCAGTCCTCCCGTGTTGGGATGGATAAAGTAAGACCTGCCAGGCCGGGCGCGGTGGCTCACGCCTGTAATCCTAGCTCTCTGGGAGGCCGAGGCGGGCGGATTGGTCGAGGTCAGGAGTTCAAAACCAGCCTGAGCAAGAGCGAGACCCCGTCTCTACTATAAATAGAAAAAAATTAATTGGCCAACTGATATATATATAAAAAATTAGCCAGGCATGGTGGCATATGCCTATAGTCCCAGCTACTTGGGAGGCTGAGGCAGGAGGATTGCTTGAGCCCAGGAGTTTGAGGTTGCTGTGAGCTAGGCTGACGCCACGGCACTCACTCTAGCCTGGACAACAAAGTGAGACTCTGTCTCAAAAAAAAAAAAAAAAAGTAAGACCTGCCAGACTAGTGAGGACACTACTGTGCGCTTCGATTCTCCACTCGCCCCAAGCTGGGAAGTCACCCCAACTTTTTTCCACTTTCCTCCCACGTCCAATGAGCTGCCAGGCCCAGAAGATTTCATCTCCCTGTTATCTGATGCAGTGTCCTGTTTTATCTCCCGTCTGTGTGCCTGTGTCTTTTTGTTCATCCTCCTTCCTTCGCTCCGGGATCACGGCAGTGGTCTCCCCGCAGGGCTGGGCCCGGGGGCCCCTCACAAACCACCTTCCGAGCAGGAGGCTGAGTGCCGGCTCTAACGCACCAGCCTGGTTATTCACCCTCCCCATCACGTTCCGGCCTCCACACACACCCTTCCACCTTGAGTTAGCCTGTTCATGGGCTCCCTCTGTCTAGAATGTTCTGCTGTCTTTCTTCTGGCTAACTCCAGCAAGTCCTTCAAAACCTGAGTCCAGCTCACTTCTCTGTCAGTGCGTGTCTTTCCAAGCTTCCCATTCGGATCCCAAAGGCCTCCTCTGCTCCCGAATCCACCCATGCGGATACATGCCTCTGTATGGGCGTATCGTGCTCTACATGCTCTACGTGGCTCTACTGCCAGAGCCAATGTATGTCACCAACCAACAGGCTACCGGGCATGAGCAACCCGAGGGCAGGGGCCCTGTCCGGCTCGGTCTTACATCTTCAGTGCCTAAACCATTCTTGCATAGGGCACTTGGCACAGTTGTGACAATTTTATAAATATTAACTCATAACAATACATGGTTGTCACAAGAATGTACCAGCATTCATTTAACAAATGTGTATTGAGAGTCCAGTGCATACCAGGTATAATTTTAGGCACTGGGGATTCAGAAGAGAATGAGACACACAAACTCCTGGTCTCAGTGAGTTTGTAGCCTGTGAAGGCAAATGGATAATAAAGAAAGAGGTACATGATATAGTGTGAGGCAGTGACGGGAGCTACAAAGAAAAATACAGGCCGGATGCGGTGGCTCACGCCTGTAATCCTAGCTCTCTGGGAGGCGGAGGCGGGCGGATCGCTCGAGGTCAGGAGTTCGAAACCAGCCTGAGCAAGAGCGAGACCCCGTCTCTACTATAAATAGAAAGAAATTAATTGGCCAACTAACATATATAGAAAAAATTAGCAGGGCATGGTGGCGCGCGCCTGTAGTCCCAGCTACTCAGGAGGCTGAGGCAGAAGGATTGCTTGAGCCAGGAGTTTGAGGTTGCTGTGAGCTAGGCTGACGCCATGACACTCACTCTAGCCTGGGCAAGAAAGTGAGACTCTGTCTCAAAAAAAAAAAGAAAGAAAAATACAGCTGGATAAGGGGAGGAAACATGATAGAGGTGCCATTTTAGATGGGGTGTCCGGGACAGGCAGTCTGAGCAGAGGCTTGAGTAGAGTGAGCACTGGGCCCTGTGGATTTGTGTGAGGGGCGGGGGTGGGGGGAGTGGTGGCAGGTAAAGGAAACAGCAAGTGTAAAGGTCCTGGGGCAAGAACAAGCTCAGTCTGTACAGTGCACAGCAAGGAGGCCAGGGCGCTGGAATGCAGAGTGCATGGGGGTCGTACGCAGCAGGGCACGGGAGACAGGAACTGGAGGTTAGGTCGAGCAGAGCCTTTCAGGCATCCTGAGGCCTTTGGATTTATTCTAAGTGTGCTGGGAATTCAGTGGTAGGTGTCAAAGCCTGGTGGGACATGGCCTGTCTTTTCAAGGATCACTCTGGCTGCTGAGCGGAGAACGAAAGACTATGTTGGACATGATCGGAAGCAGGTAGACCAGTGAGGACAGTGGCCCAGATAGTGATGATGCTGACTTGGATGCCCCCACCACACCAAGTGGTCAGACTTAGGATGCATTTTGCAAGCAGAGCAGACAGGATGTGCCGATAGTTAGTTGGCTATGGAGCACAGGGGGAAGAGCGGAGTCCTGGGTGACCCCAAGGCTCTTGGCCACCTGGTGTGCTGGCAGTGCTCTTCATCAATGAGGGAGGAATGGCTTATGAGTAAAGTTGGAAATGAAGCGCTCTGTTCCAAACCTGTAAGTTCGAGCTGCTGCCAGGACTTAGTTTGTCTTCTGTGAAATGGGGGTAATGTTTATTTTACTTCTTTCTAATGTGAATCAAATGTGATCATTTTCTATTCATGTCATGCAGGCGAAAGGTCTATTTTTATTCACATTTAGCTAGGAGCAGAGTTCCTTTTAAAAGAACACAAACAAAACTCCCTTACTAGCTAGATATTGCTACACTTGTTCAGTGGCCTCTCACACCAAAAAATGATGTTGTAATAGACTCGCTGTGTCCATATTTACTTATTTAACATTTACATACAGCTTATGTACCAGACATTGTCCTCAGGACTTTGTAAATGTTTACACATTTACCGCTTGTGGTATATACCACTATTATGCCCCCATTTTACAGATGAAACTGCGCCACAGAGAGGTGATTTGCTCCAGGTCCCACAGCTAGTAAATGGCAGAGCCAGGAGTCAACCCTGGGGTCTCTGCCTCTGCTCCTGACCACGATGCCAAACTGCACAACCTCAGCTCCATGTGACATGTGACCAGCCTCTGGTGTAGCATGACAACACCACTGCCTAAACCCTTGTCCCTGTGGGCGTTCCTGCCTGGGTTCTTACAAAACCTCTACTCAAAAGACGCCTGTCAGTATTGACAGGGCAACACCCCCCTTTGTCTCCCGGGCCTCCCCAGGCCACCACGCCACCACCCAAGCACTCAGTGTCCTTTGTGCCTTTCTTCTAATGCCCTGAGGTCAGCCTCCTCCCAGCATTGCCACACACAAGGTTTTCGGTATCCTGTTCTCCCCACGTGCCCCGCCTCACCGCCAGTTGTTACAAGTTGTTTTAAGCGCTTGCAAGTATCACATTTTCCATTCATGGGCTGAAAGAGACCGTGTGTCACACTGAGCCGAGTGCTGGGGAGATAAACGTGACCTGACCCCTGACCTTTCCAGAGACCTTGAGCTAGAGGACAGATTCTATGCTTTTCAACTTTGGGTCCCTCCTTCCGTCACCAATTGGGTGCACAGCGCGCGCATTCAATGAATAGTCATTCGTTTTTTCAGCGAATGTTTATTAAGCGCCTACTGCATACAAGGCAGGCGGTGTGATAGGTGCCAAGGATATGGCAGGGAACCAGACAGATGCGGAGTCCCCACGGCTCCAAAGGCGCGAGGATGGCTTCGGCCTCCCCCTCCCCGCTGCCGCTCCTCCGCGGGGACCTGGAAGGGAGCGTGGGGGCGGGGCGGGGGCAGGCTGGATGGAGTGAAGCCGCCGGGAAGCGGCAGCGACAGGAGCTGAAGCAAGAGGCGGGCGTGGCATCTGGCGGGGTAGACACACCCGTCTCGAAAGCCAGACGCACGCACGTGCTACAGTCGCTTTGGAGACCCCTGCCTGGCCACTGCCATCCACGCCACGATGTCTACGCGGGCGCGGGCGGAGGGGCGGGGGAGCGGAGCCTGCCGAGACTGGAGTCTCGGAGGACGGCGGAGCCCTGCGTGCGCGGCCGGAGGGGAGGCGCACGATTGGAGCCAGCCAGCTTAGAGGGAGACAGAACTCTGGCCCAGCACCCACACTCCGGAGCCTGGATTCCAATCCCAGGCCTGTTGCTTACTTATGTCACTTGCACACGTCCCTTAGCCTCCCTGGGGCTCGTTTACATCCCCGGTAAAATGGGTTTTCAATACCCTTAGGGTTGGTGCGAGGACTCAAAGGGAGAATGCCTGGAAAGGTGTTAGCACGGTGCTCATCCCGCGAGGAACGCTCCCGGAGCGGAGGCTGTAATGGCCCGACGCTCACACCTCGCCAGGTCCCTCTGGGCTCCCCTGGGCCCGGGCGCCCGCCGCTCTCTTCCCAAGGGACAGGCGACGAACCTGGTAGGGCGCGCCCGGCCTGGGTAGATTTATTTGCTTGCTGGGGGCGGGGTTGGAGCGAAGCGAGGAGGAGGAGGAGGAGAGGGTGAGGGCGAAGAAAGGGAAGCCGCGGAGGGTAGGAGGCGAGCGAGGCGGGGCCGGGGAGGAGTCGCGGCTCCCGGGCCGGGCGCGGCGCGCACCCAGGCTGGCGGCGGCGGGGCGGGGGCGGCGCGGGCGGCCAATGGCGCGCGGCGCTGCGGCGAGGGCGGTGCAGGAAAAGCGGCCGCTGACAGCCAAAGTCGCCAACTCCGCCCTCGTCCCCGCGGGAGCCGGGAGCCCGAGCCGGCCGGGGCCGAGGCCGCCCGAGCCGCGGCGAGCGGACATGGCAGCAGAATGAGGAGGCTGGCGCCGGGTGGTGGCCGCCGCTGCCGCGCTGCCGCTCGGGATCCGCGCCGGGCGCGCTCCGGGCCGCATCCTTAGCCGGCCTCCTGCTGGCCGCGGGATTATCGCATTGGAGCGGAGGGCGGGGAGGAACGGGGACTCCGCAGCCGAGAGGGTCCCTGCTCTGGCGGGGTGGAGAGGCTTGTCTGTGCGAACTGCCGGCTGCGGGAACGACGCGGGAGAGAGCCGGTGCCGGGCCGCGGCCGCGGGGATGAGCCGGCCATGGAGCGGCCTTGGCGGGGCGCACGCAGCCGGCCGGCGCTGCGGCGGGAGCGCAGCCTGAGCCGGGGCTCCGCGGGGCTTCGGGGCCTGGGGCGCCCCACGGGGGTCCTTGCCGCCGCCTCGGGGAAGGACAGGAGCCCCGCGTGGCGGACTCTGCAGCGGTCGCCGTAGTGAGGCGGCCCAGGCTTGCTCCGCCTGCAGCGCGGTGCGCTCTCGGCACCCGGGCGCTGGGCCGGCTGCGCGGCGGCTGGCGCGCCGCGGCGAGGCAGGCTGCGGGGCCGGGTGCAGGACCGGCTGGAGGGGTGTGCGCGCGCGGGTTCGGCTGGAGAGCAGGCAGAAGCAGAGCCAGGCGGACCTGAGCAGCCATGCTTCCCGGGGTGGGCGTGTTCGGCACCAGCCTCACGGCCCGTGTCATCATCCCACTGCTGAAAGACGAGGGCTTCGCGGTGAAGGCGCTGTGGGGCCGCACGCAGGAAGAAGCGGAGGAGCTGGCCAAGGAGATGAGCGTCCCCTTCTACACGAGCCGCATTGACGAGGTGCTTCTGCACCAGGACGTGGACTTGGTGTGCATCAACCTGCCGCCGCCCCTCACCAGGCAGATCGCTGTCAAAACCCTGGGTGAGCAGCCCCGTCCCCCCCAACCCCTCCCCCGCCAGCCTTCTCTCCATGCATTCCCCTCTTCGCATCCCAGAGGCTTACACTGCATCTCCCCTGCCCCAGGGGTCTGAGATCCTCGAGCCCACTCTGAGCTCCCTCCTTCTCATCCCTGGCCTTCCTCACCTCGGGCCTCCCTCCTCCCTCCTCGCACCACCTGGACGCGCTTCCCCACCTGTGCCTTGGAGCAGGCGTGCGTCCCGGGGATGGGAACCAGGTGGATCAGATCCCCCAAACAGGGGCTAGGTTTCTGCACGGGGAGAGGAAACTTAGTCCCCAGCCGTGTGTGTAATGCCCAGGTCCGTGCGTGTGTGCGCGCCTGGCAGAGGCGAGTGCGCGCCCAGAAACGCCAGGATAAAGGGCCGCACACGTGTCTCGGGTTTTCCTGGGTGCAATGGAGTGCCTGCAGTTCAGCAGCTGTGGAGCCCTGCTAGGGTCGTTTGTTTCTTTCTGCTGTGAGTTAGTTTCGTGTGAGATTGGAGATGTGACAATCGACTGGAGCATTTCGTCTGCGCGGAGACCAGGATAGCGGGAGTGGTTGGAAGGGGGGACTTATTAGAACGTTTTCAGAGGCGTCATAGGGTAGTAAAGACTGATTTAGTAAAACCGGAGGGATTTTAACTTTTGAGTGTAGCTTCCCAGCAACTGTCTTCACCAGTTTGGAGTAATGGATCTTAAATGTTTAGGGGATGGGCGCAGTAGTTCCAGAGGCATGAATGCTTTGTGTCAGAAAAGGCCCTCCTTCATTGCCTTCCGGAATAGCTTCTGAAGGCATGGTGTTGGCAGGCGGGCTGGGGGTGAGTTCACCGCTCCTCACCACCCAGGGCCCCCACCCGACGCCCAGGCAGTCTGAACAATCTCTGAAGACAGAGTATGGGTGTCTCTGCCCTGCCCAGGGGAAAGACAAGTGCGTGTTTTCTCCATCAGCACTTCTTACACTTGCCTAAAACAATCCCAGGAAGATTGCTCACTCCTTACTATTCCAAGAAAATTAATAGCCCACCCATGAAAGTCAAAGTTTCTATTGGTGAAGAAAGAGACAAAGCTTGTAACAAGATGCCACGTTAGAACAGTTACTAGGGAAGAACTAGGAACAGGGGCAGCATCCAGAAAACAACTGTAATTTATGTAGTCTCGGAAAGAACACTTTACTTTTAAAATAGAAGTGTGGATTCAGGGTAGATGAAATGTCCATATATTTTTTAATTCTGCCTTCAAAGACCAATGAACAGAATGTAGAATACTTTCTTCATAGGAAACCATTTTTATCAAGGCCATTGAGCTGTTGACTCATATGGGACATCTGATAGAATTGCTAAGGAGGCTACCCAAGGTTGTCAGTTTTAATGTTAATTTTATTAAGCTTCTGGCCTTTGTAGGCTGGCTTATTTGACCTTGAATTGAATGCTGTTGGGTCTGGCCAATATTTCTTGTCTGTCTGATGAAACATATATGTTGGGTAGCTAATGCTCTTGTTTACATTGGATCTGTGCATATCAAATGGATTATAACCATCTTGTGGTATAATTCTATTGGGGCAACTTCTGTAAAACCGGTCTGTCTGGAGCCCCAGCTATACTGGAGGGCTTAGGACTGGTCATATTAGAAAGACTGTGCTGTGACATCACTTCTCCCCTCTGCCGTGCCTTAGTCCTGCAGGTCAAACCCACAGAGCAAACCTAGAGCAGGAGAGTGGCAATTTGGGGAACAAGGATCGTCTTGTCTTCTGACCACCTCTGCTACTTTGGCCATGAAAATATTTGAAGGCTCAGGTTTCAGATATGACACAAATTATACATTTCTGCATACTTCTTCTCTTCTTATTTTCAAAAATCCCTATGATTTTTTTTTTCATTAACAAGACTAATGTGAGTTACCTCCTCCTCAAAACCAAGCATAAGAGGCATAATAGACTTAGTTTAATAACCATGGCTAAGGAATAGGGTTTTGTTCATATTTTCATGGCAGGGCTTGGGATTTTTTTTCTTTCTTTTTTTTTTTACCTCCTCCATTTGCAGGTCATTCCAGGTAGTCTGTGATTATAGAAAATATGGAGGCACTATGTTTAGATGTGGCTAGACTTTGGTCTCATTGTAGACTTCATTTTCACTGGAAAATCCCTGGACGTGGCTTGTGGCTGCAAGTACATAGTAGGTTGGTTGTCTTGGTTTATTTCACACTTATGGTGGGAGGTTCAACACATATGACACAGGAAGTAAAAAACCCCAAACAGTTATCAGGCTGGTCTGGCTGTTGGAGGTTTACAGATACTAGTGTTTGCCTGGAATTGAAACTAGCCACTCTGACTAGTCCTGGTGAATGTACTTTATTAAACAAAGGCCTGGGTCCTGAGATGCTTGCCCAGAGATAGCACTGGGTCTATGGCCCTGAATCTGCACTTTTAACTGATCACAGGCTGTCGAGGTGAGGGGCTGCTCTAGGGACCAATAGAAATGAAACTTTGAATCAATTGAATCACACACGTTCTCCTTTAATTATTTTTTAAAAAGTCCCTACCTTAATGAACTAGGCATTCCTGTGCTGTAGAGACATTTCTACCATGTATAGTTTCTACATTGTCCAAGGCTGCCTCTTATTAAGAACCTACTGTGTGCCAGGCAGTGTAGTAGGTGCTATGCATAAAGCATTTCATCTCCTGAGTAAAATAATCCTTTAGGGTAGATATTAGCTCCACTTTACAAATAAGGCAACTGGGATTCAGAGACTTGCGTCCACTTGCTCCAGGACGTACAGCGATTTGAACCCACCGTTCTACCTCCTGCAGAGTCTCTGCTTCCTCTTCCGCCCTAGCCTGCTTCTCTGTCCCAGTTCCTTCTCTCAGATGATGGCAGCCCAAGTGAGATGGTTGGAGTTTCCTTTATTCCTTTTGCCCCAGTCCAGGCATCGGTTCCCAAATCTGATTGATGCCGTCTCCTGAATCTCTCTGTATCTGTTCTGCCTTCAGCATCATCACTTCCTCCATAGGAGTGAGGGCTTTACCTGGTTTCTGAATTAAGTTCCAGTTTGCTCCACCCATCCTTCCACCTTCCACACTGCTGCCAGGCATGTCGGAGCACGGGAGACCTGGCCGTGTCGCTATGTCCCCTTTCAAAGGCTCCCCAAATGGTTTCATGGCCAAAGCCTCAACTTGTTGGTGTGACAAGCAGGAGGTGGCATGGGATGCACCTGCCCGGTTCAGGTCGTGCTGGCCATACCCATGAGCTTCAGCCAACCCACACTGCTGGTGTTTCCCTGAATTCACCTGTTGGCTCGTATGTCCCTGCCTCTGCCAGGATAACCCTCCTTCCCTGTGGTCATGATGATGCTTGTGTGGCCCTCAAGACTCAGCCCAGGTGTCCCCACCTCCTAGAATCTTTTCCCTTCTTCACACCGCTCCCCCATACCTTGTGTGCCCTTAGCACTGAGTGCCCCCATATTTTCTAGCTCCTATTCTGATTCATTTGCTTAACATTTAAATTTTATTTAGTTATTTTGAATAGGTTATGTATTCCCATGTACAAATGTCAAATGCTATAAAAGTATACAGCGAAGAGCAAAAGTCACCATCCTCCCCTCAGAGACAGTCACCATTACCCGTTTTTTGTCTTCTGTTCAAGATTTTTCTAAGTATATACTAGCAAATGTGTGTATGAGAATTTTTAAAACCTTTTTATACAGTTGGTAGCATCTCATTCACATTGTGATATACCTCTTGTCATGCAACAATATCATCTTGAAAAATGTATATATTAGAATTTTAATATCTTAAAAATTTATATGTTGAACCTATACAAATTATTTTTCTATATTTGCATATATAGTATGCACATATGCATATTTGTGTATATATTCATAGACATATATACATTTATACACATATCCATACATACACCTTTTTATATATCATAGGTATTATATAAAATATATATTATATATTTTATATATCATACCTATATATTTTATATATCTACATATGTATGAAACTCAGAATATGAAATTATGATTGTTCCTATTTTTGGCTACATACTATTATATGGATAAGTCAAAATTTATTTAGGCCGGGCACGGTGGCTCACGCCTGTAATCCTAGCACTCTGGGAGGCCGAGGCGGGCGGATTGCTCAAGGTCAGGAGTTCAAAACCAGCCTGAGCGAGACCTCGTCTCTACCATAAAAATAGAAAGAGATTAATTGGCCAACTAATATATATATATAAAAATCAGCCGGGCATGGTGGCTCGTGCCTGTAGTCCCAGCTACTCGGGAGGCTGAGGCAGGAGGATCACTTGAGCCCAGGAGTTTGAGGTTGCTGTGAGCTAGGCTGACGCCACGGCACTCACTCTAGCCTAGGCAAGAAAGCGAGACTCTGTCTCAAAAAAAAAAAAAAAAAAATTTATTTAAACAATTCCCCATTCCTTAACATTTAGGTTGTTTCCAGTCTTTTGCTTATACAAACATATAGTGAATAATCTTGAGCATATGTCATTTTGTGCGCATGCCAGTCTGATTGTAGGATAAACGTGCAAACTGCTGGTCGAAGAGTATGTGCTCATTTCATTTAACAAAGATATTGCCAAATTAACTGGCACCCAAGATGACGCTGCGTTTTGTTGACTTCCCTGTGTGGCTCTGTCGAAAAGCCCCTTAACTGTGTGGATGCAGGCCGGGCAAGGATGGGCTCGCTCACCTTTGTGTCCAGCGCTGCTTGGGGCTCAGGGGCCCCAGCACAGCCCTCAAGCCAGCCTCCGGCGGGGGCCAGAACATGTCTCCAGTTTGTTCTTGTGCAGCAGTCCATTCCACCTAGACTGATGCAGTAAGGCGCCCAACTGCCTGGCTGGTCTAGTCTTGGTTCTTAGTCATTCTGCTCTCTGTTCACTGGGGAAAGTGAGTGAGTGAGTGTGTGTGTGTATCTCACTGTGTCACTCTCAGCTTTCAGTGGCCCCATGGCACTTGCAATAACATCCAAG